TTTCATCCAAATCTGGCTCAAAATGACAAAGTTATAGCCTGTTTCGACCTTCCCCATTATATCCTATGGGCGAAACAGGGTCGAAACGGCAAACCATTTTGATGAAACGAAATAGCCGTTTCAACTCGAAACAGAAGTTGAAACAAAACACTGGTTTGTCAAAACGCTGGTTGAAACAAAATGCTTCCGTTTTGCACAGCGCTAGTTGTAAGTTCATTAGCAGGTCTAGATTAGATGGAGTATCCACCATCTCTTTAGCCAGTACCACTCAGTACTGGTGCTCTTCTGGACTCCACCTGTAGTAATTCTGCAAGCAGGGTTGTGATGTCTTTGCATCAGCACAAATGCCTTTTGCGTTGGACTGGAAGGGACCTTCTGGTGTTATGAAGTCCTGCCTCCTGCTGCTGCAGGCCCTTCTCATATAAGCCTGTCTGTAAACCAATCAAAATCAACAGTAGGTTTGTCACTTGTGAATTTTAGCCCATTGTGTGGTGTATTCCTGAACGTGAATGTTAGTGTGTACATACTGGATGTAGCTTGGCTGGCACTACTCTAGTCCGCAAGTGTCTCATTTCAGCCACCTTCAAGGTGAACATTGTTGGAATGGCTTGAGTTTGGTTTGGATTCCTAAATGAATAGATTTAGTGTTGATTTAAGCTGGCAGGAGTTGCCTACAGATTACTCATTACCCAGACTGCCTCATCAGTGATGCACTACTTTGGACAATTTACAGTATATTTATACATACTAGATATTATGAGCTATAAATTAAGGAAAAGGAAGGAAGATGCTTTCACTACTAATATCCTTCAGAAAGTGGAGCTTTTATATTTTTCTCAGCATAAGGATGCTGGAAGTTCAGCAATTAAGGTATGCCTACACACTAGCCATAGGAGTAAATGCAGAGTACTGTAGAGATACCCTGGATAGTTTGGGTACCAGTAACATTCTAGTCACAGCAGCACTGAGCTCAGTATAGGTTGTTATATCTTGTGAAGTGACAAGGAAAGTTAACCTGTGCTGAAAGCTGTGCTGCTACAGCTATATTGCTAGCAGCATCTGAGGTAATGAGAAAATCATGGTGCCATGCTGCAAGTCACATTTATGACTGCAGTGTAAACATAACCATAACAGCAACCTCTGAAGAATGCTGCTTTTAGGTCCTTCAACTTCAGAAAATGTTTATGCTCATAACTAAAGAGCCCAGAGGAGCAGCAAGTCTCCCACTAAAGAGATGCATATGAACTTCAATTGCAAAAAGTGTTTGTGGAGAAAGCCTGTTGATGTTACCATTTATTTATTTTTAAAAGCACACTTGTACTCAAGCATGCTTGTAAATGTCACTTACAGGGCATGCATATTCAGTTGCAATAAATGCACTTACAAGTGATGTACCAGCTGGGGATATGAAAGTAATATAATCAAGGCCTCAATGAACACACAACTATTTGATAATTTTTTAACATACCATCTAATAATTTTAGTATTTATTCCCTGTTGATAGTTTGTTTTTAGAGTTTTTTTAGATGACATGTTTTAATGGGATTGCTTTTTATTATCTATGGTAAAGCTCAAAAATTAAGTGTGCATTTAGCACGAAAATGTTTTCCCTGTCTTACTTGATTTTTTTAATTCTGGCTAGTTTTAGGGATATATTTTCCTCTCACCGTGATTAGTAATTTATGTTCTTGTAGTCGTGTACCGAGAGAGGAATTTTTACTTAAATCCTTTTCTGTGCACGCTCTCTCTTATATTTTTTTAAAAACAAACAAAAAAACCCAAGAGTCCCAGGGGAGACTAAAAGAAAAATGTGTTATTTCCTCCTTTAGACTCCCCTGGAGGTCTTATATTTTCTACTTACTATGAATAAAACAGTTTCCACACCTCCACATAAGTTTTCAGATGTTTTTATCCCATTGTTTTCCTGCATTAGAAACTAGCATGAAAGTGCTCAGTGCTTGGCACTTGCCAAAACATGGAAACCAGGAGGTGGCAGTGTTGGCCCAAAGCTCCTCATGGTGAAAAAGCTAGTGATGTGCATTGGACAACGCTTGTGGGAGGATAAGAAGATATAAGCTGGGAAGTAAGGATACCCAGAAAGTAACTCAATTTTGTAAAAACAAAACAAACAACAAAAGAAAAAAACCTGTAAGTCTTTAATTTCTTTGCTGTGCCACAGAATGTATTCTGTTCATAGACCTCTAGAAAGCCTTGTGGGGCCATCTTAGTTGAATTAGGAATTTCTAACAAACTAATTGAACTCAATAAAGTTTGTATGTATGAGTCAAGAAACAAATCCGAAACAGTGAAAGAAAATCAGACTTCTTCTCAATTAGAACTGGATTTAGACAGGGAGTTGGTCTGTCTGCTGCTATTCAACCTGGCACTGGAAAAAGTAATCAGGAGCATATATGAGGGGAGGAGTTCCCTGAACAGAGAACATAAAGTCCTTACACATGCTGATGATAGACCTCTCATAAGTAAAAATATGAATGATGTAGAAGCTCTGCATACTCAACTAACAAATGTAGCAAAGAGAATTGGACAACAAGTGAACATGGATAAAACAGTGTTTGCTGGTAAATAGGACAGCAGTAAACTAGGGACCTCATGTAAAAATAAATGACATGCATTTTAAACAAGTGACCCACTTCCAATATTTAGGTTCTATCATAGCACATGACGGTAAAATAAAGAAATTAAAGGAAGAATAGAAGCAGGAAGTAGAGCCTATTTTGCATTGCACAAGCTCCTGTCAAGCTTATCCCAAAGAAAATTAAATTTCAAGTCCATAGTCAATCTATGTATAAACTACGGCAGTCAGACCTGGGTTCTCTCAAAAGCAAGCAAAATAATACTAGATTGTTTTGAAAGAAAGATTTTACAGAAAATCTTTGGTGCACAGTATGATCGCATAACAGAAGAATGGCATACAAGCCCCAATAATGAGTTATATCAATTGTGCAGACACCGAACCCTGATGCAGGAAATTAGAGCATGACTATAGTGTCTGGGCTATGTCAAAAGACTTGAAGCCATCTAGACACCAAAGAAAGGGCTCCTTGTGGTGCTGGAAGGGAGACAGCCTCCTGGACAGCCAAGACGAAGATGGCTAGATGATGTAATGTCAGACCTACAAAATTAAATGTGGATGACAGGAGGATGTTGACATGCAACAGATAGGAATGGATGAAGTGGAGGCAGCCAAGGACTTCTAGGGCCTTTAGTATTATGTTGCTCTGCCTGACTTTAGAGGTGGGACTTGAACCTCAGGCCCCCCACACTTCTGGCAAGTGGTCTAAATTGCAAGGCTCTAATCAGCAGGGATCCTGGTTTTCTCTGATTTAAAAAAATCCCCAATTTTTGGTTAAAAAAAGTAACCCCAGTTTCACTAATATATATTAGTGGTGTTTCATTTAAATCACTGAAAAATGTGGAATTGGAGTTACTTTTTAAATCAAAAATTGGGGATTTTTTTAAATCGAAGAAAACCAGGATCCCCGCTAATTGGTCTCTTTTCATGGGGTCGTAGGAAAATGTACATGAGATGCCTTCCAGGAAAAGATCTAGAGGGGACCTCATGAGGTCATTTAGCCCAGATCCCTGCTGAAGGAATGATTGTCCCATTGTAAAGACTTTACTTGGGGAGAAGGAACGGTTTATAAACCAGCCCAGCCAAGTGTCCATCTAATTTGCTCTTGAAAATTTCCAGGGATGGAGAGTCCATAACGTCTCTAGGTAGCCTGTTCCAATGCTTAACAATCCTCATAGTTAGTAAGTTCCTCCTAATTTCCAATCTAAATTTCCTTTGCTGAAACTTGAGACTGTTGCTCCTTGTCCTGTCCCCTGTGGCCATGGAAAAGACTCTTACCTCTGTCTTCTCTATAATTGCCTTTCAGGCATTTGAAGATGGTTATCAGATAAGCCATGTTTATCAGACCTCTAATAATGTCCGTCATTTTTCACTGGACTCTTTCCAGCTCTCTGTGGGAGCTGTTCTACTTTTGTATGAATAATTAATAATCATTGGGCAAGAGACAGTCTGTCTCTCTCTCTCTCTCTCTCGCACCCCCCCTCCTCCCCCCCAGTTTTAACTTAATTTTTATTGGACCCTTCTTGATGAAATTGTCATCAGAACTGATGTTTATTCAGAATGTTTTGCTTTTAACAAAAAGAAAGAGTTGAAGAAATGCTGACCAGCTCTAATAGAAAGTAGCACTTACTTATCATATTATGAACCTAAATTCTGTAAAGAAATAGTTTGGTTTTTTTTAAATGTAGTGTTTTAGGTGTAAGGACTGAAATTGGTCACATGACATTTTGTTTCCTTTAAGTTCTGGGTTCAAAGCTTGACTTGTCAGATATGAATGGATTGTTGATTCATTTTACTCCCTAGACAGCATTTTTCCATGTGACAAGTTGGTACATAAGAACATTTGGAACACGTAGCACCCATTTGGATAGAGCCTGCCAGAACTGTCATAGAAGAGATGTTGTTAGTAAAGAAGAATGCATTTATGCTAGCACTCACCATTTTTTCCCATGGTGAGTGCTAGCATAAATGTTGCATGCCACATTAAAGGTATGTATGAGATATAGTTTACACAGTTCATGGTGGATCTCTGTGCAGCAATGAATGTACATTTGGAATAATGCAACATGTATTGGAGTAATAGGAAAGAATGAGTGCTGTTGCTGCTGCTACTGGCTTTGAATAGCTTAATAAATGAATTTAGCAGTAAATATTTGGTTGCAAACACTAGCACATATTTTTAAAAAGCATGCGAAGTGTCCCATAATACTGTTCGTTCTCTCTCTCTCTCTCTCTCTCTCTCTCTCTCTCTCAGCCACTTTATCCATATAAGGGTCTGACAAAAAATACTATACCATTTATTTTACAGGCAAATGTAAGTGTAGGTTAGTTTGGAGTGCCATATACTCATATTTTTACTTCTACTGGCAATTTAATGTTTATATTTTTCCTTCTTTTCCAATGACAGGAAGACTGCAAGAAACTTCAACCAACCAATGTGCAAAGCTGCCAGGAAAACTGTGGTAGAGGTAAGAAAGAAAGAAAATGGTGTAACTGTTGCTTGTCCTCATTGTAAAGTCCTTTACAATGTTAAATAATTTCAAAGTTAAATTAATACTTCATGAAACAATTAGCCAAGAAAGGATTTGTTGTCACATTGTAACTACTGTACTGCTGTGTAAACTTTAGAATGTGCCTTATTGATTTCTATGTTCTCTGTGGGACACACTTTTTTAGTAGCTGTATAATGTACATGCCTCACTGCAGGTCAGGATCCACTGAAAGTTAAAGCATCCAAACTCGAATGGGAGATAAGAAAGCAGTGGCAGTGTATCAGTGATGCTGGATCCTGATATTGAACGTAGCACTATCTGTTTGGTCCTCCATTGGTGGCAAAAGGAAATCCTAATGAACAGATGGTAATGCAGGATCTCAGTCTACCTAGTAAACTCCTGCAGTCACCTGAAAAACCTGGGTACTGGTGATAGGATGTGCCCCTACAGTAAGCCCTTTGTCATCCACTTTACTGAACCATATAAACTGCAACAAGTTGTGTTCGCTCCCCATCTTTCAACAACAGTTTAATTGTGGATGCCATAGGGCAGACCCTTCATGTTTTAAGATTTCATTCTTTTTATAAAATAAAATGCACAATACTTGTTAGTATTATATATGGTACTATACTACCATTATATATTAGAGCTATACAACACATTTGACAAAATGCATTTACAGATTTCTTTTGTGGTAGATGTGTCTTCCTGTTTAGGTTGCTAATTTTCAAATTTAATCAACTTGCTATGAGATCTCCATTGCTGATATGGAATAGGGAGGTCCAGATATTTCTTATTAAAAAGATTAATGTAATGTATGCTCCACAAAATACCATAAACCAGTGAGTAAAGTTTAATTAGAGAATAATAGCACATGTCCTTTTAATTCACATTGCCTTAGAAGAATGTGAGTGAAAAAGGGAAGAGTTTACATTTGCAGTTACCAGTATTCTAGGTTGAACCACATAAATGAACAGGTTGCTGCTCAGCACAGCAGTGTCCAGAAGATGGTCAGACTTCTCTTTTACTCCTTTGAAGGCTTCCTCTGTTCAATTAAATTTCACTAAGTTTTGAAAGTAACAGGGAAACTGTTCTTGAGCACTCTTGGCGGGTTCTAAGTAGAATCTTGACTTCACTTTCTTCGCAAGCATTTTATGCTGGCGAACTTTATATGAATCATAAAATCCAATCCAAGTCCCTACATCAGATTGATGCTTTTTTTTTTTCTCCAAAAATATCCAGCGAAAGAGATTCCATGACTTCCCCAAGCAGCTTGTTTTAATGTTCAACTGTTCTGACAATAAGGACATTAAAAAAAAAAACTAAATATGCTTTGCTGCCATTGAACCCGTTGCTTCATGCCCTGCCCTCTCTAACAAGGGAGAACAATTGTTATGGCAGACTCTCAGATATTTGAAAATTGCTACTATGTCTCTCTCTTAATCTTTTTTCCAAACTAGATATATCTAGTTGTCTTAATAACTCATCATACAGCTTGCATTTCAGCTGCTGTATCCTCCTTGCTACTCACCTGTAGATTGTCTCTGATTTCTCTACATCCTCCCTAAAATGCAGAGCCCAGAACAAGACACAGTACTCCAGCTTGGGCCTAACCAATGCCAAGTCGAGTGATATTATCACCTTCTGTATCTTATATACAGGGCTTCTGCTAATGCAGCTCAAAATTTCATTTCCTTTTTTTTGTATCTGCACCACAATTATACTGCCAAGGGAGGTAATAAATATAGAACCTTACATTTGTCTTTGCTGAATTTCCTTTTGTTGTCTCTAGCCCAGGTCTCTAATTTATCAAGGTCCTTTTGCGTTCCACTCCTATCCTCCAAAGTGTTTACAGCCCCTGCCAGTTTGTCACTTGCAAACTTGGTCAGAATGCCCTCTCTCCCTGCTTCCAGGTCATTACTGTATTTATTCAAATCCAGGATGACTTCACATTTAAGATGACCCCTGCAATAATTAGATTGTATGCACAGAGAATTATACATTTGCTGTAATTTTCCTTGTGTATAATCTAATTAGTAAAAGTTCATTTTAGATTTCTCTCCCCCCTCTTCTGCCCCCAACAGCTGTGGAAGGGAAAGGGGCCAAACCCCTGCCTTTGTCTTCCTGCCCTTTGCCCTCCCTGCCCGCTTCCCCCTCTCTCCAATTTTGTTTTGGTTCCAGTAAATACGGTAATTAGAATGTTCAGTAGCGCTGGATGGAAGACGGACCCCTGTGGAGCCCCACTTGAAACCTCCGATGTCTCTGATGTCCAAAATGTTTTGTCCACTGCCGCCACCTTGTCCACCAAACTGGTTACCTGTCGAAGAAGGAAACTGAGTTTGGCATGATTTCTTTCTAACAAGTCCTTGCTGACTGCTAGTGGTCACCCTTTCTTCCTCCAGGTATTTACAACTTGATTGTGTTCTAATTTGTACTAGTAGCTTCCCAGATATTGAAACGAAACTTGACTGGTCAGTAATTCCTAGTGCTTTGGGCACTGGTCTTCTCTTCTAGGTCTGTTTATGCACTTTATGTTAAATGGGTTTTGGAAACAGTACAGCAACAGTCCTGGTAGCAATGATTAGAACCCAGGTCTTCTCCCTTCCAACTGAGTGCTCTAAACACTAGATAACTAGTCAGTCTCTCTCTTGCCCTCTCTTTCTGGCTCAGAGATCATTGGAAGTCATTTTCGCACAGTGACACAGCCTCATCAGGGGTCAAGAGTACTCTACCCTATAGCCAAGTGGTTATGGGACTTGCCTGTGATGTGGGAGATGTGGGCTCGAATCTCTCAGAGAGGTGATGAAGTTGAAATGTGTTCTCTGCTTCTTGGGTGAGTGCTTCAACCACTAGGCTGTTCTGCACAAGGTGGCCAGAGGAGCCATCTCCTGCTGTGTTTTGAAAGAAGGCACCAACTGCAGCCGAATTCTGTGAGGGCCCAGTTCTGTTAATGTGTATTAGATGAGCACCAAGAATGCTTCCCAAGTCAACCTCCTAAGGGCAAACCATGGGCAGAGATGAGGCTTTTATCTCTGTATAGATAAGAGCCTTAACCATCAGCTAGGCATTGGGCTGCTCAGCCTTCTCAAGACAGGCATATGCAGAGAGGTACTATTATTCCCTTTCACACACAACTTTTAAAGCCAAATGGGGAGATGCCTGTGGAGTTCAGTCCCCAGTGTAGGGCATCGAATTATGTTGTAGGCAGGAAGGGGAGTTGGATCACCAAGTCACTTTTAGGCCCCTATGTCCTTTTTCCTCCCTTAAATATCCAGATATATACTTCCAGAAGCTACGTATGTGACCCAGAGTGATGCTGGTAACTGTGACAAATATGTTGCATGGCTCTGTATTTTTGGATTCTTTTTTGAGTCACTGGGATTTTTTTGTTAATACGAACTGTATACATTTGTATAGTTTTATACAGATCATGATATGTGATACAGTAAGCATTTTATTTTATTTTTTCCTTTCACTCTTTATTTTTATATAGCTTCCTTTTATCCAGTTGGGGAAAAATCTCTTTAACAAAGTGCAATTTGCATCCATTGAGTTTAAAACTGTACTAGGATAATAGTCTAACCTCCATTATATGACAGGCCACTGAATTTCACTGTATTACCTCTTTATTGAGACCAAATATCCCATGCTTGATTAAAATGTAGTTTAGAATGTTGTCTGTTCCATGATGGTATTTGAGCATGGTTCTCAGTAATGGATCTATGACAGATCCCTTTGAGGTTAAGATGGGAGTTAAGGAAGGCTCCAACATTCTTCTTGGTATGCCTTACCACGAAGCTACATCTGACCACCAACAAGCTTCCATTCAGAGTGGAGCTAAACTTTCAAATTAATGGTAAGCTGTTTAATTTTAGCTGACTTCAAACCAGAACCAAAACCACCCCAACCTCAATCATCAAGCTCCAGTACACTGATGATGCTGTAGTGTGTGCTCACTTAGATGTAGACTTTCAAGCAGTTGTCAATGTCTTTACCAAGGCATACAAGAACATGGGACTGATGCTTAACATTCAGAGGACTAAGGTCCTCCATTAATAAGTTCTCAATGAGCAGTCCCTGGCTCCAGTAATTTAGATTCACAGTGAGACTCTGGCATACGTTGAGTATTTCCTGTTCTTCAGAAGCCATCTCTTGCAGAATGCTGACATCGCCTCAAATATGTAAGTGCAGCCTTTGGACACCTGAGGAGATGTTGACAATTGCAACTCAGAGCTGAGACCAAGCTCATGGTTTATCAAGCAGTTGTGATTCCCACCTTACTGTATTTAGCTGAGCCATGGACAACATAGAGGAGACACCTCAAGTTGTTAGACAAAAGTACCATCAGCGCTGCCTGTGGAAGATCCTTTGAATGCAGCAGGAAGACAGATGCACCAATATTGGTGTCCTCTTGCAAGCAAACACGATGAGCATTGAGGCAATGATCATTCAACATCAACTTTGCTGAGCTGGCCACATCATCCAAATGTCCAACTCCAGGCTCCTGAAACAAGTTTTATTCTCCCAGCTCAGTCAAGATGTATGCTCAAGGGGAGGGCAGAGAAAGTCCTTCAAGGACATCCTCAAAGCCAACTTAAAAGGCATCATTGACATCAACTTGTGGGACACTATTGCCCAGGACTGCCCCAAATGGAGGGAGAGTCTGCTGCAAGGATCATAGCACTTTGAAACCTTACAATGACAATAGGAGATGGAAAAGCAGGAGCAGCAGAAACACCGTGTTGCTGATCGAATCAAGAATCCAGAGCCACCCAGCCCACATGGAAACTTGTGCCTGAGTTGTAGCAAAGCCTGTCGATCCCGGTTCAGCCTCGTCAGTCATCTTCAGACTCATGTATCAGACAGTTGTGGAAGATTGCCATCCTTGACTGTGAGGAACTGCCAAAGATAAAGAAGAATTTTGGCTATAGAATGTCTTCCAGGGGGGCATCCAATCTTGATATGTGATCGGGAAG